GGGAGAGCAGATATATTCCAGAGCATGGTACTGGCTCGCTCTCTTGGCATGGGATCCAGAGCTGGACACAGGGCGACTGCCGTTCTCCTCCAGAGGAAGCTGAGGGACTCTGCACAGTAGTTCGGCACAGTGGTGACACCGATCGTCGCACCGGGATTGTCTCTGTCCGGTCCTCGCTCGGACATTGCTGCTCCCCATGCTGACAGGCTGGGTGGTGGTAACTCTACACATCTATGTGGACAGTCAAGAGCCCGGGAGAGAACTCTATCCATAGGATTGGTGAGCCGGCGGATGCCCAACCTCTCTGCCATCACTCCAGAGACACTCCATGCCGACACCTTTACACCTCAGTATCAGGAGACCTTTGCTTTGACCTTTACCACAGCCTGTTATCGTCATTGAATGACCAGTATTCACTCATGTTTATGGGCCCCACCATTGCTAGCAGAAGAGTGCGGATACCATCATTTTAGGACCTTCTAAAATCAAAGGACTTATGCTGCAATCTCTGATTGAAGGGGCCTTTTCCTAAGGCCGTTGTTACTCGAACCGAGAACGTACGTATGTTTATTCAGGAGTAGACAGAATTCTCTGCCCACCCCTTGTACCGCCGGTGGCCCTGAGGGGCCCAGAGGGAGCCGACAAGCCAACAAATCTTCTCTTCCCCTCTTACTGCCGGTTGGATTTATATAGTTGAAGCGTATTACTAATGACTGTATTATCTGTTCAGCTTTGCTGTTGCCTGTTCCTGTCGTACCGAAGTTCTGCTTCCATGCATGATGGGGGGTTCTGTACCCCAAACCCAACGTTCTTGTGCTCTCCTCTGCTGGACAAATCGAATATCGAGGTGTTAGGAACGAATCGCGCCGCTTATTCTGTACTACTGAAATACGTCTGAACCCCGAGAGTCAGAGGTGCCGCTGGGCTTGCAAGGTCAGGGCAACCACTAGGGACCAGCACCACAGAGCGGCCCCTAAAGGGGCAGCGCCATATTAATATGAAACATTCATCAATAATATTCCATATCTTCCCCTGACAGCCAGCAAGTGGTGGGACTGGTATCCCGGCAACCCAGAGGGTTGGTTTACTGCTGTGCCGTACATTAAGAAGGATCTCCGAGAACTGCCGGCCCCCTGAGAACTGCCCCCGTCCAAGAACTGCCGCCCCCATGAGAACTGCCGCCCGTCCCAGAACTGCCGCCCCCATGAGAACTGCCGCCCGTCCCAGAACTGCCGCCCCCATGAGAACTGCCGCCCGTCCCAGAACTGCCGCCCGTTCCAGAACTGCCGCCCCCATGAGAACTGCCGCCCGTCCCAGAACTGCCGCCCCCATGAGAACTGCCGCCCGTCCCAGAACTGCCGCCCGGCCCTCCGAGAACTGCCGCCCGTCCCAGAACTGCCGCCCGTCCCAGAACTGCCAGTCACGTCGGTCCCACCTCCTGCATCTACTGGGGGTCACGTGGGACCCGCCTCCTGCATCTACTGGGGGTCACGTGGGTCCCGCCTCCTGCATCTACTGGGGGTCACCTGGGTCCCGCCTCCTGCATCTACTGGGGGTCACGTGGGTCCCGCCTCCTGCATCTACTGGGGGTCACATGGGTCCGGCCTCCTGCATCTACTGGGGGTCACATGGGTCCCGCCTCCTGCATCTACTGGGGGTCACGTGGGTCCCTCCTCCTGCATCTACTGGGGGTCACGTGGGTCCCTCCTCCTGCATCTACTGGGGGTCACGTGGGTCCCACCTCCTGCATCTACTGGGGGTCACGTGGGTCCCTCCTCCTGCATCTACTGGGGGTCACCTGGGTCCCGCCTCCTGCATCTACTGGGGGTCACGTGGGTCCCGCCTCCTGCATCTACTGGGGGTCACGTGGGTCCCGCCTCCTGCATCTACTGGGGGTCACGTGGGTCCCGCCTCCTGCATCTACTGGGGGTCACATGGGTCCCGCCTCCTGCATCTACTGGGGGTCACGTGGGTGTAGATATTGATGGTTCTCACTCACCTTCTGGACATAGACGTAGAGCGCCGTCTCCGGGGTCAGAGCGCCGTCCTTCAGCTCCTCAGCCAACTCCACCAACGTCAGATCCAGAATCCTCTGCTGGTCCAGGCCGGGGTTCTACAGGAAGACACGGAGCGGTGAGGACTGGGAACACCCCTACTGACTGCTCCACCAATAACAGGATCCGGATCTACGAGGATCTGTCCTCAAGTCTGAAGCTGAACCCAACCTCCATGGACATGACACGGATGATATGACCCCCAAGCGGTGCCGGCCCACCCGGGAAGACAATTGTCCATGGAGAGTCCATGCAGATCGGGACCCCCGGCCGTGTTGGTACAGATCGGGACCCCCGGCCGTGTTGGTACAGATCGGGACCCCCGGCCGTGTTGGTACAGATCGGGACCCCCGGCCGTGTTGGTACAGATCGGGACCCCCGGCCGTGTTGGTACAGATCGGGACCCCCGGCCGTGTTGGTACAGATCGGGACCCCCGGCCGTGTTGGTACAGATCGGGACCCCCGGCCGTGTTGGTACAGATTAGGACCCCCCCGGCCGTGTTCGTACAGATCGGGGGACCCCCGGCCGTGTTGGTACAGATCGGGACTCCCGGCCGTGTTCGTACAGATCGGGACCCCCGGCCGTGTTGGTACAGATTAGGACCCCCGGCCGTGTTGGTACAGATTAGGACCCCCGGCCGTGTTGGTACAGATTAGGACCCCCCCGGCCGTGTTGGTACAGATCGGGACCCCCGGCTGTGTTGGTACAGATTAGGACCCCCGGCCGTGTTGGTACAGATCGGGACCCCCGGCCGTGTTGGTACAGATTAGGACCCCCGGCCGTGTTGGTACAGATTAGGACCCCCCGGCCGTGTTGGTACAGATTAGGACCCCCGGCCGTGTTGGTACAGATTAGGACCCCCGGCCGTGTTGGTACAGATTAGGACCCCCGGCCGTGTTGGTACAGATTAGGACCCCGGCCGTGTTGGTACAGATTAGGACCCCCGGCCGTGTTGGTACAGATTGGGACCCCCGGCCGTGTTGGTACAGATTAGGACCCCCGGCCGTGTTGGTACAGATTGGGACCCCCGGCCGTGTTGGTACAGATTAGGACCCCCGGCCGTGTTGGTACAGATCGGGACCCCCGGCCGTGTTGGTACAGATTAGGACCCCCGCCGTGTTGGTACAGATTAGGACCCCCCGGCCGTGTTGGTACAGATTAGGACCCCCGGCCGTGTTGGTACAGATTAGGACCCCCGGCCGTGTTGGTACAGATTAGGACCCCCGGCCGTGTTGGTACAGATCGGGACCCCCGGCCGTGTTGGTACAGATCGGGACCCCCGGCCGTGTTGGTACAGATCGGGACCCCCGGCCGTGTTGGTACAGATCAGGACCCCCGGCCGTGTTGGTACAGATTAGGACCCGTGGCCCCCACAGCTCCAGCCACATAAACTGACAGGTGAATCACACTGTAGAAGACACAGTGCCCATGTGAATGAGCCCCGTGGCCCCGCCCACACACAGAGATTCAGCAGGATTGTGTTTGTGTCCAATAATAATGAGTGTATACATTCGGGGGCGGGGCCTTGTCAGGGAGGCTGTTCAGTGATCTGATTGGAGGGGAGCTGCTGTACCTGCTGGTGAAATGTGCGCAGAGCCTCCTGCATGAGGCGCACACTGTCCTCCCTCCTCGTCCTCTCCTCCTCCATCCTCCTGCGGATCCCACGTCTCCTCCTCCATCTCAGGCCGTACGCCGAGGCAGCCAGGAGGCACCCCAGGGTGGCCAAGAGCTTGCACTCTAATGAGCGCTCAGAGAGCAGATGGGTCAGCGTCTCCTTCATGACGTCAATCTGCTGCAGGGGAGACATCAACTCTTCTATCACCCAGACTGGAACGTCAGATGTTCGATCCGGGAACCAATCCCACAAGGCGCTCCGTAATCTGCAAGAAATTCACAGTGAGGATAGATATGACTGACCCCCGCACCTTACAGTATGTTGTATGTTACATACTCCTGACCCCCGCACTCTACAGTATGTTGTATGTTACACACTCCTGACCCCCGCACCTTACAGTATGTTGTATGTTACACACTCCTGACCCCCGCACCTTACAGTATGTTGTATGTTACATACTCCTGACCCCCCGCACCCTACAGTATGTTGTATGTTACATACTCCTGACCCCCGCACTCTACAGTATGTTGTATGTTACATACTCCTGACCCCCGCACCCTACAGTATGTTGTATGTTACATACTCCTGACCCCCGCACTCTCTACAGTATGTTGTATGTTACAGTTGTGACCAAAATTATTCAACCCCCACTGAAATGAAATTGAGTGTTTTGGCCAGTTTGACATTGCTTTTGATCATTCAGTCATCTTGCTTACATTTACATTAAAGAGGCACTTGTAGGTCAGACAAATATAACATAACAGTTATAATGAAATAACCACAAATGTCTTTTCTGTGCTCACAGCATTATCAGTTTTATTCAACCCCCAAGTGACATTCAATCTTAGTACTTAGTACAGCATCCTTTTTACAGTTATAACAGCTTTTAAACGTGAAGCATAGCTTGACACAAGTGTCTTGCAGCGATCTACGGGTATCTTCGCCCATTCTTCATGGGCAAAGGCCTCCAGTTCAGTCACATTCTTAGGCTTGCGCACTGCAACTGCTTTCTTTAAGTCCCACCAGAGGTTCTCAATCGGATTTAAGTCTGGTGACTGCGATGGCCACTCCAAAATGTTCCAGCCTTTCCTCTGCAACCATGCTCTAGTGGACTTGGAGGTATGCTTGGGATCATTGTCCTGTTGAAAGGTCCAACGTCTCCCAAGCCTCAGGTGTGTGACGGACTGCATCACGTTTCCATCCAATATCTCCTGGTACTGAAGAGAATTCATGGTACCTTGCACACGCTGAAGCTTCCCTGTACCTGCAGAAGCAAAACAGCCCCAAAGCATGATTGACCCTCCACCATGCTTCACAGTAGGCAAGGTGTTCTTTTCATCATAGGCCTTGTTCTTCCTCCTCCAAACATAGCGTTGATCCATGGGCCCAAACAGTTCTAATTTTGTTTCATCAGTCCACAGAACACTATCCCACAACTTTTGTGGTTTGTCCACATGGCTTTTGGCATACTGCAGTCGACTCTTCTTATTCTTTGGAGACAGCAAGGGGGTACGCCTGGGAGTTCTGGCACGGAGGCCTTCATTACGCAGTGTGCGTCTTATTGTCTGGGCTGAAACTTCTGTACCCACATCTGACAAATCTTTTCTCAGTTCCTCAGCAGTCACACGGGGACTTCTCTCCACTCTACGCTTCAGGTAGCGCACAGCAGTCGAAGTCAGCATCTTCTTTCTGCCACGACCAGGTAGCGTTTCAACAGTGCCCTTTGCCTTGAATTTGCGAATGATGCTTCCTAAGGTGTCTCTTGGTATGTTTAACATCTTTGCAATCTTCTTATAGCCATTGCCCTTCCTGTGAAGAGAAATCACCTCTTCTCTTGTCTTCCTGGACCATTCTCTTGCCTTCACCATGTTTGTAACCACACCAGTAAATGTCTAGAAGGAGCTGAGTATCACAGTCATTTTAAAGCTGCCTAATTGGTGCTTATTATGCTTGATTGCTGCTCGGTGACATCCACAGGTGTTTTCAATACCTGATGGAAAGCACCTGTATGAACCTCTGTTCTTCAGAGTGGTAGTCTTTAAGGGGTTGAATAATTGTGGCAATGAAGAAACCACATAAGAACCATTTACTACTGTATTACATAAACAATTGATGTCATTTTTAGTTGCATTTGGGTAGTTACAACGTCCTTGTAGGATTTGATTCTGAATACAATTCCAAATGTACACTATAGTCCCTAAACCCCTTTACAGCATTGGGGGTTGAATAATTTTGGTCACACAACTGTACATACTCCTGACCCCCGCACTCTACAGTATGTTGTATGTTACATACTCCTGACCCCCGCACCCTACAGTATGTTGTATGTTACATACTCCTGACCCCCGCACTCTACAGTATGTTGTATGTTACATACTCCCGACCCCCCGCACCCTACAGTATGTTACATACTCCTGACCCCCCGCACTCTCTACAGTATGTTGTATGTTACATACTACTGACCCCCGCACCCTACAGTATGTTGTATGTTACATACTCCTGACCCCCGCACCCTACAGTATGTTGTATGTTACATACTCCTGACCCCCGCACCCTACATTGTGTTGTATGTTACACACTCCTGACCCCCGCACTCCACAGTATGTTGTATGTTACACACTCCTGACCCCCACCCTACAGTATGTTGTATGTTACATACTCCTGAAACCCCCGCACTCTACAGTATGTTGTATGTTACATACTCCTGACCCCGCACCCTACAGTATGTTGTATGTTACATACTCCTGACCCCCGCACCCTACATTCTGTTGTATGTTACATACTCCTGACCCCCGCACCCTACAGTATGTTACATACTCCTGACCCCCGCACTCTACAGTATGTTGTATGTTACATACTCCTGACCCCCGCACCCTACAGTATGTTGTATGTTACACACTCCTGACCCCCCGCACCCTACAGTATGTTGTATGTTACATACTCCTGACCCCCGCACCCTACATTCTGTTGTATGTTACATACTCCTGACCCCCGCACTCTACAGTATGTTGTATGTTACATACTCCTGACCCCCGCACTCTACAGTATGTTGTATGTTACACACTCCTGACCCCCGCACCCTACAGTATGTTGTATGTTACATACTCCTGACCCCCGCATCTCTACAGTATGTTGTATGTTACACACTCCTGACCCCCCCGCACCCTACAGTATGTTGTATGTTACATACTCCTGACCCCCGCACCCTACAGTATGTTGTATGTTACATACTCCTGACCCCCGCACTCTACAGTATGTTGTATGTTACATACTCCTGACCCCCGCACCCTACAGTATGTTGTATGTTACATACTCCTGACCCCCGCACTCTACAGTATGTTGTATGTTACATACTCCTGACCCCCGCACTCTACAGTATGTTGTATGTTACATACTCCTGACCCCGCACCCTACAGTATGTTGTATGTTACACACTCCTGACCCCCGCACCCTACAGTATGTTGTATGTTACATACTCCTGACCCCCGCACTCTACAGTATGTTGTATGTTACACACTCCTGACCCCCCCGCACCCTACAGTATGTTGTATGTTACATACTCCTGACCCCTGCACTCTACAGTATGTTGTATGTTACACACTCCTGACCCGCACCCTACAGTATGTTGTATGTTACATACTCCTGACCCCCGCACTCTACAGTATGTTACATACTTACATACTCCCTGACCCCCCGCACTCTACAGTATGTTGTTTGTTACATACTCCTGACCCCCGCACTCTACAGTATGTTGTATGTTACATACTCCTGACCCCCGCACTCTACAGTATGTTGTGTGTTACATACTACTGACCCCCGCACTCTACAGTATGTTGTGTGTTACATACTCCTGACCCCCGCACCCTACATTGTGTTGTTATGTTACACACTCCTGACCCCCGCACTCTACAGTATGTTGTGTTACACACTCCTGACCCCCCGCACTCTACAGTGTGTTGTATGTTACATACTCCTGACCCCCGCACTCTACAGTATGTTGTATGTTACATACTCCTGACCCCCGCACTCTACAGTATGTTGTATGTTACATACTCCTGACCCCCGCACTCTACAGTATGTTTTGTGTTACATACTCCCTGACCCCCGCACTCTACAGTATGTTTTGTGTTACATACTCCTGACCCCCGCACCCTACATTGTGTTGTATGTTACACACTCCTGACCCCCGCACTCTACAGTATGTTGTGTGTTACACACTCCTGACCCCCGCACCCTACATTGTGTTGTATGTTACACACTCCTGACCCCCGCACTCTACAGTATGTTGTGTGTTACATACTCCTGACCCCCGCACCCTACATTGTGTTGTATGTTACACACTCCTGACCCCCGCAATCTACAGTATGTTGTGTGTTACACACTCCTGACCCCCCGCACTCTACATTGTGCTGTATGTTACATACTCCTGACCCCCGCACTCTACATTGTGTTGTATGTTACATACTCCTGACCCCTGCACTCTACAGTATGTTGTATGTTACATACTCCTGACCCCCGCACTCTACATTGTGTTGTATGTTACATACTCCTGACCCCCGCACTACTAGTATGTGTTGTATGTTACATACTCCTGACCCCCGCACTCTACATTGTGTTGTATGTTACACACTCCTGACCCCCGCACTCTACATTGTGTTGTATGTTACACACTCCTGACCCCCGCACTCTACATTGTGTTGTATGTTACATACTCCTGACCCCCGCACTCTACATTGTGTTGTATGTTACATACTCCTGACCCCCGCACTCTACAGTATGTTGTATGTTTACATACTCCTGACCCCCGCACTCTACATTGTGTTGTATGTTACATACTCCTGACCCCCGCACTCTACATTGTTGTTATGTTACATACTCCTGACCCCCGCACTCTACAGTATGTTGTATGTTACACACTCCTGACCCCCGCACTCTACATTGTGTTGTATGTTACAACACTCCTGACCCCCGCACACTACATTGTGTTGTATGTTACATACTCCTGACCCCCGCACTCTACATTGTGTTGTATG